ACGCCCCGTTACCTAGCAACCCCAGCTGAGTTCCAGCATGTTTGATCAGCTGGTTTTACCGCTGTACAGTGGCTGCTGGAAAAGACAAGTGTTTTGTTGCTGACTTACCATTCAGAAACCATTTGCTGCATACTTACTGGTTGTGCAGGAGGCTCCACTTCTGCTTTTCAAAGATGTACGGTTGTATAATTGCGCATCTGTTTGCTGCCATTTTCATGTGTGAGTGTTAAACACTGAGTTAGAGGCGTGGCTAGCAGCGGCTTATTTGTATTTAAAGTGACAAGAGGCTCTGAAAGTTGGAAAATAAAAGATAGTATGCGTTAGGGCTGTGTAATAATATCGATTTTGCGATGTATATCGATATTTTCTTTCCTAGAAAAAAATCGATATTCATCCACAAGTATCGTAACATCCAACTGTCACCTTGCTCACTCACTGCTTGCTTTGCTGGGAGAGTGATTAGGTCATCAGGCTTAGAGCGATTCCTTCAGATGTTAAGTGTCAAGGTTAAAAAGGTATCAAACTATTCAGAGCAGGGTACTTGGTGCGCTTTATTTACTTTACAAATTCATGTAAGCTACAGTTTGTACTGTTTCAATTAAAATAAATATGTTTTCTCACCACTTTTTTGATTCATTTTGTCCAGCTGTCGACTTTAAGTCTGTGTCCATGTCCAACCAGAGCCAGGTATTGTGTAGTTGGTGCTTTTAATCAGTTTTCAGTTAAATTAATTCAGTCCAACTCTATAACAGTCACAAAATGTCACCAAAATCATTCTGTCCCTCTAAAATCTTTCAGAAAATCGCCAAAATTGTATTGTTTGCTGAATATCACAATATATATCGTATCGTGAGCAGAATATCGCGTATCGTATCGTGAGATTATTGTATCACTACAGCCCTATTTTGCGTCTGGATGTTTCTTTTGGTTCATATCACACATATTGATGAACGCATGGTGGACCGGTATCGACCCAAACTCTCGCCCATTGAGTGTTGCAGTTTTCTGCCAGTTTTAGATGTCTCTGGTCCTACAAAGCTCATCCAGCTGGTTCAACTACCTCCTCTGCATGTAATAAAGTTCTGCTAATGAGCCACTGCAAATAAAACTTACAGCATAGCATTTGACTTTCAGCACAGCTACTTTAAGGAAACAAGTGGGAGCAGACATTATGTGGATACAAGAAAAACGGCAAACAAAAAGTTTGATGCATCACCGGAAAAGTTTTAGCTTACCAGC